GTACAGTAATTGTATGTTGTCACCACTAAATACTTGTCATTGGCTTTGGCTATTTACAAACAAACGATACACTTGCACTCTCCAAATACTCCCTCGGGGAACTACAGTAAACTGCCCGTTAACCAGAATAATTGGTGTGGAGGTCTTCCAGGTTTGAGAGGTTTCAAGGCAGAGACAACTCTCTTAAACCCGGAAACAATTCCACATTCCCAGAAATTTTCCAGGTAATGGGAAAAGTTTCTGAATCTAAAATATGCATCTCGCATGAACAGACACTATCCCACATCCCCCTAATGTTTCTGGGTGCTGAGAACAGTTTTCTGAGTCTAAACTACACATCTCATCTTGCAAGGACATTTAGACCGAGGGCACGAGCGAAAATATTTACGGCTAGCAAAAGTGTATAAATTTTTATTCACAGTATGTTTTAATTGTATTAGGGAGATGAATTTGGTGTCATAATGATTCTGAATCATTTGAAACACTATTTTTTTTAACCAAAACAATCCTGAAAAGTTTATCTAAAATTATGGGTACAAAGTACAAAAACAATTAAAATAAAATACAAAAAATCTATGATACAGGCGCTAATGGAGTTGTGTGTCAAGACAGTGGAATTTTCCACCCTGCACTAAGGAAAATTTTCCCAAGTCTAAATGACGCTTGTACGGAACCATATTTATTTACGCAAACACTACTGTACATGTAAATTATATTGCAAAAAAACAAAATAATGTATACTACTACTGTACTAAATACAATACAGTATACAGTACTGTACTCACCAGCAGATGTTGACATTTTGAGCCTCTACTCTGCTGAATGTTTACATAATTGTAATAACTTTTTGTCTTAACACTTGGAACAGAGGTTGGGTAGGGGATTAGTGAGTCATGTTACTTTCCTGTCCTAATGCATTGTCAGGTCACCCATTGTATATACAGGTAAGCTCTTCTCTCATTTGCAGTGGAGGTGCGGTAGGGGTTTAGTGGTCTTACATTAGCGGTTCTCACGACCTGAAGAATGATGTCTCGAATAAAGACAAAAGCTAAGGTGCTCCAGTGTTTCCCTTTTCCTGCATATATGGTACTTTCACACTAAGTGAATGTACAGTACAGTGTACATGATTAATAATTTTTTATGTCTTTACACTGCTTTAACACTCTATGCTTAGCTTGTACAATGGCAGATGACTATGAACTAAGTGTGTCATGATGCTAAGCTTAGAGTGGATAAGCTGGGAGACGCATCAGCCTATCAAGGAATTCCATGCAATCACATGACACCATTTGCCAATTGCAGTTACCCTACTAGTCTTTCCACCCATGCACCCAGCAAGTGATGCAATCTTTCGTCACTTCTGGAACCTTTGTCCCAGGCCAGGAGCAGAAAGGTTTGGAGAGATTTTCTTTGATTTTTTTCGGAAATTGCACATTACAGTATTTCATCCTCGGAATTTCTTTCCAGATTTGGGTGGGGAGTTCCTGAATTTTCTCTGAAATTTTCCGGAAAATGTGGTTGATTTTCAACCTCGGAAATTCGTTCGCAGACCCGGAATTGAGATTTTTTTTTTAGAGAAATTCAGGGCCACTTTCAATTCCAGCTATTGGAGAGTTCCAGGGACCATGGACTCTGGCTAATAGGGAAATTACTGTACAGTATATGATTAAAAAAATCCATTATGAAAAATGAGCAATACATATCCAGTGGTCCCTCGGTTAACGAACACAATTAGTTCCAGAGGGTCGTTCGTTAACCAAAAATTTCGTTAACCGAATCCATTGTTTCAATGGGATATTGGGTAATTGGTTCCAGCTCACCGAAAAGTACATACAAAGTAAAAAAAAAATGCAGTAAAGTACACTTACTTTGAGGTGTGTATGTAAAAGGTTCCTGGTTGTTGATGATGATGATGATGATGATGATGGGAATTAGAAGTGAGGGTGGAGGAGAAGGGAGAAGAGAAGGAAGTGGGGATGGAGGAGAAATCACCTTTCAGTGGACCCATGCTTGATGCCGTCATTTCACCCATAAAATTTTAAGTTCACTAGGTGTAATTCAAGATTATTTTATTTAAATCAACACTGCACTGCGCTATATATTATCAATATGTTAACTAAATTTCAGAATGACCAATAATTTCAATGAAAAATGCAAAATATTCAAGACACCAACAAAACAGATGTTCACTCCACAGTCAACAGAGCCCAACTGACGCCTGTTGGCCGAGTCACGCATCTGATGGGCGCACAAAAAACTAGTTCCCTGTACTGCATATATTATCAATACATTAAATAAATGTTAAAAGGACTAATAATTTTAATATAAAAAATGCAAAAATATTAAAGAGCACAACTTTCTTGATATTTACTCCACTGGAAACGAATGTAAACATAGAACAGATTACTGAATTGGCAGACTAGCCCATCAGCTGACCAGCTGATGCTCACAACAAAACGTGTTGTTCGTAAGGATTTCGTTAATCGAAGTTTTGTTCGTTAACCGAATTGAAGACCCTTGTGGGAAGTAATTCGTTAACCGAAATTTCGTTAATCGAACCGTTCATTAACCGAGGGACCACTGTATTAATTTTACACTTTAAGAAGTTTTTAATATGCTCAAGTTAAGACCAAGAATAACAGCTCCATAAATGGTGGCTTGTGGAAATGTCCTAAAACAGAAAATAAAAATAAAAATAAAAATAAAAATTCAACATGGGAGGAAAAATACAAGATGCCAATAATACTTACAAGGATCTTGAAGATGAGGGATCAAAGTTATGAAGTAGAAAGAAAAGAAACTTGTGCACATACTGTAGTATATTTTCTATTGTAGTAATAGCAATAGTGCACTATAAAATTAACATCTTTAATATGGAAAAAATAAATAAATTGGTGCCAGGTCTCTAATGGTTGAGTTTTTCTTTTTATTATTCCCAAAAATATATATACAGTACACTAGGATTCAAATGCTTTGTATTCCTACGTCTGAATTTAAAGTATGCATCCCTTATTTGAATATGGTCCTCCTTGCTTGAGTTGGATGAATGGTAAATAGACTACTACAGAATGAAGGTAAGGATATTTGTCATTTTTTATCCAAATAACACATGTCCTTTGTCAAACTTATTCTGATTCCTCTAAATGCTTATACTAATATCACAAATTTAGTGTCCCTACACATTGGAGAAAGTACTAAATTTCTTGAACTTTCATATCATCAGAGAATAGTTAAATATCATGTAAAAGAAACATGCTGTATAACAGAGAGACCTCTTATGTAGTTGGATGTGCTCTTGGCACGGCATAATCTTGTACTTTCTGTCATGATATCCATCAGGCACAACTCTCACACAGTGAAACCACTATACTGTACTGTATATTCTTTTGATAACTTCTGATGTTACCTAATGAATATAAAGATGAGGTACTAAAGTATTACCATCACTATAATAATTGTATAGTGATAAATATCTACACTTCTGAATGTCAATCCATAATCAGATGTAACCATCATTTTATATATGTATATATATATATATATATATATATATATATATATATATATATATATATATATATATATATATATATATATATATATATATATATATATATATATATATAAATTAATAATTTGTTCACTGATCATAATGACACTTAAAAAAATAATCAGTTTATTTCCATAAAACCTATTAGGATACTGTATCTGCTTTAGCAGCACAAAATAAAAATACCCAAGTGGACTAGCATGTGAATATACACAATGACATCTTTCAAACTACTTGCAACACATGATGAAAAGTGACAATAAATGGTTACATTTTATCAAGTACGTATCCCAGTTCGGGTCAAGTTAGCCACAGATGCTTATCTGAAAATTTTTGTGGATAGCAAATATAGGATGATCCCCAAACACATACTCCTGAGAAGGTATACAATATTGTGTAACATAAAAAAAAGTTCCCAGTTTCTTCTCTCACCTCTTATATTCTTCCCACAGAAGCAAAAAAATTCAGAAGTTTGTATAAATCCCAACAAACAGGTCTTTTGATTAATTATGCTAATCAACACTATTTAAGGCAAATTCAGTACAGTACAGTATATTATGTATCTATAAGGGTGGGATTATTATTGTGTTAATGACAACATCTTTAGGTAATATTTTACAATAATTTCAGCAATATTAAATTCATGCCATGTAGTTGTACACACTTGCTTGTTGGGTTATCGATGTGATATCAGTCAGGGAAAAAATTACTTTCAAACATAAAAATATTAACAAAAAAACTGTGGTTCTGCTCTGATGACTTCTGTCATCCATTGCTCATTTTGTCTGATAGGCCACAGCCAAGAAGATACTGTACATCATTTTCATTAAACTTGCTTCACTAACCAAGTACCACTGAAGCATAAAATCTATTATTATTGGTTAGAAAATGTTTATATTGCCAACGATTTGGAAATATTAGACATTTCGAACTATAGAAGTGTATTCACAAATTCAAAACAGTTTACCCGATTTAACAATTTACAGGTATATACCACAACTGTCGAAGGACGGAGGGTCACACTATCATTATCCTTCTGGACATATCCCGTAACTGTTGTGATAAATATTTCTTGCAGGCCCAATATAAGTTTCCCATGATTTGTTTTTGCTTGTGTCTTTGTGGAGGCTTCTGGCAACTGACCTAAGGCAGTATAAACATACCATATCCGCTCGAGGAAACTAATGACACTATATTTGATTCTGGAGACAAGGATTACCCTCCTGTCCATAGTGAAAGAGATGTAAGTGAAGATGGTGACTTTCTTCAAGATTTAACAAGTGATTCTAGTGAATCTTTAGGGAATTTAAATGCGGAGGTAGCTTCCACATGCCACGTGTTCTCTCATAAAGCTCCCACATGGGATCGTTGTAATTCTTGATTTATTCCCCTTGACCCTCAACTCTGATTATGCAAATCAAGAGTTTATAATAAGAGTAAAAGATTTTAATTATATTTTTCTTTTATTATTTGATATTCCCCATTAAATGGGTAACGACCACAAACTGCCATCACCGTCCTCAAAGGGTTAAATCTGAATACAGTACATCCTCCCATACACATTATAATCACATAATATTTAGTTTCCACAATCCAGTACTATATATAGTTTCATTATCTAGATTTTCAAACAAGACAATGTGTTATATACTCACACTTTCAGGTGATGCTCAAGTGCCCATAAATACATCAGTGGTATGCTTTTCGTGCAGAGAAATTCAAAATTCTTTCAATAAACCAATGTTCTCACAAATACTTCATCTGTATTAAAGATAGAAATTAATTTTGTGACAAATCTTTCTCATTTATTCACTTGAGAATCAAAGTGTATGTTCAAAATTAAATTACACTACAGTAAACTTCAGTAGTACAAAACATATATGTGAACATAGCCTTTTCATGAAGAAAAAAATAAAAATAAAAAATAACTTTCCTATAATCTCAAAATAATGCAGTGAAATCATATTTTTTCTAACCAAACGAGAGAGAGAGAGAGAGAGAGAGTCAACAGGCACCAGATGTTAACGTAAATTATGTGCTGGCTACACAGTACATAATGATACATCACACATATGTCTCAGTCACAACACCTGTAACCAAATGATGTATTGGGTAATTAGTAGTGAGGGCTGCATTTTCTATCACAAGTCCAGTAATATTAAAAGAACAAGATGTAAAGTTGGAGACAGATTGTAGTCCCAAGGATAACACTTGCAATACTCAAAAGTTTATGTAAAGCTGTATGTCTGACCGTTTGAAATGGCTTGATTAAAAGATAAGGAAATATAGCTAAAGAAATCCGGTGATTTAGACTAAACACTGTATGAAAGAAAATGACATCCAAACAGAACACAAATAAACTTTCAATAATAATAATTAAACAATCATCCCCACTATATGTGAACTAACCCAAGGCTTTCTCTTCACCCCCTTTGGTATCCCAGAAATACAACATAAGAATCTATAAATTAAAGCTGTCAAAAGAAGTTTTTTTGTTCTTAAAATTTTTTGGGGTAGTTTCATTTACCCAGAGATATCAAGATAAATGCAACCATTAAGCCAATAGCATCTACCACAAACCCAACAGTATCATCTTATGTAATTGTTCATTCTACTACTTCTTTAACTGTACATTAAATTTTGACTAGACTTTTCAGTTTTATTTCTATTCTATTTTTTTCTTAGATTACTGAAATTAGTGATGTAATTTCCTGTTTTATGTTAGCATCAATTAAAGTTCTGGTCTTTATGCTTTGCCCCCAACTACCTCGGTCAATATGGCCACCCAATGATCACTGTCACGAGATGAAATAGCTAACTCAGACTGTACTGCCATGCAATCACCACATACTTTATTTACAACTGTCAAATTACATTAACTACAATTGATGCAAATGAACTTCAATACAAATTTTCAAAACAGCTATTTCCAGAGGTACAATCACTATAAATTCTTTTCAAATTTGAAGTGACTGTTTCACCTGCAATCAATTCTCCTTGTACCATTTTGTAATTTGTAGAGCTGGTGAAGTTCACCCAATTAAAAACTTAAGTCATTTTTCATTCCATGTGGGTAACTCTCATTAGGTTACTTAGGCTAGATTAGATGGGTATGACTACTGCTTCAGAGGAAACAGGACCACAAAAAAAAACAGATGCTGGTTATGTAAGCATCATTTTGACAAGTCCTTAGAGTAACTGACTCGTAATGATCAAAGTGATAATTCTGGGAACCAGATGCTGGTGAAATAAACCCTTCCTCTCAAATATTCCCCAAAATCACGGGGTATTACCGGGGTACTATCAATATATTTACTTCATGTAGAATGTATTTCCCCCCAAATTAATTATCAGTTAAATCAGCAAGCCTGTTCCCAAAACTCAAATGGAGTCTTCATTCTGCCATGGGATGAAAGATTACATTAATGACAAGCCAATCACATAATTTATGAACCTAACAATAATTATGAACATTAAAGCCATTCTAACACTCTTCAATGTTTATCTCAACCCTTAACCTGATTCCTGTATTCTGCACCCTTGCTTACCGCATCTAATAAATTTGTGATAAAATTAGTAACTGATGCACACACACAAAAAAGTCTACAATAAAATTAGCTTTCTTTCCCAACAGTTATTTTCAGATAAAAAATACCACTGTACAGTATTTGGACATACCTAATAGTGTAAAACCATAACAAGAATGCTAGTCCTCTTATTTAAGTGCCTTTTGTACATATTACACATGTTTCTTTCCCTGACATGTTGACAAGACACATATTTATTGATATACAGTACTCTTGACAAAATAAACTATACAGATTCATTCCATTTCATGCATGTGGTCCTACTTCATGTTTTAGGCATTTGCAATAACCACAAGCTATCATGCTGTTTCTTCCATGATGTCTATACATGCTAAACTTAGTGTTTTTTCTTTGGAAGATGCCAGTTTATTTATATTAAAAATAAGATTAAAAAATAAATAAAAAATAAAATAAATAAATAAATAAATAAATAAAATTTAGTTACAACAATTATCTCCATGAAATTGGGATAACAAGAATAACTCTTCCGACATAACCTATCATGGTTAAGACGGATGAAGGTGGGTGTGACATACTGTACACGTCAGAATTAACCCTGCACGGTGGCCATAGGAATTACATCTACAGGAGTCACACACAGTCTTGTACAAGGTGGATACTTCCTCCTGTTCCAAACTACGTAGGTAACAGGTAGTCTACATGACAAATCAACAAAGTATCACATTTCCACTGACACAGTTTATGTGACGAGATGTTTGCGTCCACGTATCTTATTAATGAGGTTACATATCTTGAGTGCAGGACCAAGTTTAAGTCCCATATACTTCATCATCATGTCACTGTTGAGTAAAAGGAGAGCTTTTCCATCAATCTCCTGCAACAAAAAACAAATAAACAATGTATGAGTATATGGACACAGATAAATGTACTTACTCATAATAATGAGTTACATGGGATTCACATATTAAATCTAAAAGACCCAATGAAAATAAGCAATCCTTGCATCTACTTTAGATAAAATAAATTCAATATTATAATTCCTAAAGCAAAGCAATGCAAAATCAATCTTGTGATCCTTATCCTTTTTTTCCCAGAAGCACTACCTTGAGGTGGAACATATTCCCAAAGCAACCCTGCAACAAATCATCACCAAAACCTATTTCTAGACAAATTAAGTCCATTTTTTTCTACTTCTTTACTTTTTCATATCAAATATACTGTACATGTACAGTCAGGGACAAAAGTTCACTCCCGCCCAAAATGAAGCAGCATTGACCACAAACGAGATGAAACAGTCAGGGTAAGACAGTTCGGAGACTTATTCCCGTGACTCAGTTTCACCATGGGGAGCGAAATGTTGTCCGGGACTGTGGAGTACCAGAAGAAAAAGTCGATGACAGGCAGATCCTTGATTTTCCAAGAGATGGACAAACACATATAAAAGGGTACAGTACTTAAATAATGTTGGGCTGAGAGTAAGCTTCAGTATACAGTGGTCCCTCAGTTAGCGAACGGTTCAGTTAACAAAATTTCAGTTAACGAATTACCTTCCACAAGAATCTTCAATTAGGTTAACTAACAAAAATTTTATTAACGAAATCCTTACAAACATCATGTTTTGTTGTGAGCATCAGTTGATCAGCTGATGGGCTAGTCTGCCAATTCAGTAATCTGTTCTATGTTTACATTCGTTTCCAATGGAGTAAATATCAAGAAAGTTGTGCTCTTTAATATTTTTGCATTTTTTATATTAAAATTATTGGTCATTTTAACATTTATTTAACATATTGATAATATATGCAGTACAAGGAACTAGTTTTTTGTGCGCCCATCAGATGCTTGACTCAGCCACAAGGAGTCAGTTGGGCTTTGAAAACAGTGGAGTGAACATCTATTTTGTTGGGGCCTTGAATATTTTTGCATTTTTCATTGAAATTATTGGTCATTCTGAACTTAAGTTAACATATTGATAATATATAGTGCAGTGCAGTGTTGATCTAAATAAAATAATCTTGAATTACACCTAGTGAACTTAAAATTTTATGGGTGAAATGACGGCATCAAGCATGGGTCCCCTGAAAGGTGATTTCTCCTCCATCCCCACTTCCTTCTCTTCTCCCTTCTCCTCCACCCTCACTTCTAATTCCCATCATCATCAACCAGGAACCTTTTACATACACACCTCAAAGTAAGTGTACTTTATTGCATTTTTTTTTTACTTTGTATGTACTTTTCGGTGAGCTGGAACCAATTACCCTATATCCCAATGAAACAATGGATTCGGTTAACGAACGACCTTCTAGAACGAATTGTATTCGTTAACTGAGGGAACACTGTACATGCATTGACACCACTGCGCTCTTATGGGTTTCTCTTGCCAATACACTCTTAATTAGTGAAAAATATATACCGGGTACACAAAACACAGGATACCAAATACCGAAGACATCGTTCTGTGGAGTCAATATTCCAATCAACAATAAAAAGAACAGGTAATAATAATAATTAATAAAGTCAATGTTTATATCAAGGGTAGTTCCAAAAAGTTAATGTATCTGTATGGTTAGGGAGATGAGGTAAAATATTGGTAAATGTTGAAGGAGGCTGTGGGAGTGGGAGGGGACTAGAAGGTGAGCAGTGAGGGGTAGTGGGAAGGGTAGGAGCTGGGAAATGAGCAGTGATGAATAGTGGGTATAGCAGTAGGGGGATAATGAGAGGGGAAGAGGTGATGGGTAATGCAGTGAGGGGTGGTTGGCAGCATAGGAGTTGGGCAGTGAGGGGTGATGGGTAGAACAGTTAGAGGTGATGAGTAGGGTAGGAGTTGGGCAGTAAGAGGTGATAGGTGAGGCAAAATTTGGGTAAGCAAGGGTGATGGCTGGGGCAGGTGGTCATATGACCTTGTCCTTGGATGTATGACTATAAAAGCCTCATCATTTAAAATTTTTATCATGTATTTTGTCTAGTCAAAATTTAAAGATAACATTATTCATTTAAGTATTTCAGATTCAAAACCTCTATTCAGAAATATTGTAAAGGTTAAGTACAGATATAAGTAGGGGTACCCCCGAATCCCCCCCACATAAAATACAGATTTAGAAAAAGTGCTCCCAATCACAGACAGATTAGACAGACAGACACACACTAACACACAGTGCCATCCATCCATTCAGTCACCCATTACTTCATCCATCCATCCATTCACTCACCCATTCATCTATCCCCCCACTTGCTCAACACGCACACATATTACTTATTGGTTCTCCCTTCAAGGAATGGAGACAACCTTACCTGATCACACATAACACAACATGTCATATCACACCTACAATGTTCCCCCAACTGTAGACTCAAATATATCTCAGCCTACATGATAACTTTTTTTTATTATGTTTAGCAATATGCCATAATGAAGGTTTTTAAGTACCAGGGGTGACCAAGGTAGCAAGCGGAGAGTAATTTGACTGCAGTGGCGTGAACAGCAATTAATGCTCACGTTGACAGCCCAACCAGGAAAAATCTTTTAAGTACAACTTTACAGTGGTTACATTCTGCAATTCTCCCATGGTTGGCAAAGCTGTGGTTAGTAAGGGCTGAGTCATGTGGAAAATAAGGGATTAGGGAAAATAATCCCTGAGAAACTCACCGTAAGTCTCATAATGTGCAGCCCAAGGTTAAAAATAAGTGCAGGATGTTTGCAATACATATTTTTTATCATAACTGTATAAAAATATTATAAAGTACACTGCTTCATTGTATTATATTCGTGTGTGTTGGTGTGGGGATTAGTGGATTAGTGGATGACATCATTATGACCTGACCTCATGTTTTATAAGGTCACCCTGTATATTTAAGCCTCTCTCTGTCCATGTAATCCAGTTGCCTCTGAAGATGTCTTGAATAAAGACGAAAGCTAAGGTGCCCGTTGTTTCCCTTTTTCCGTGTGATTTTATCAATATATATATATATATATATATATATATATATATATATATATATATATATATATATATATATATATATATATATATATATATATATATATATATATATATATATATATATATATATATATATATATATATATATATATATATATATATATATATATATATATATATATATATATATATATATATATATATATATATATATATATATATATATATATATATATATATATATATATAAAATAAAAGAATACTGTATAGTGTAATGAAGCAGTCCACATGACGCTGTGTGCTTGACCTCAACAATCTTCCTAGCAATGCTACTTCCTCTAGCAATGCAAATGTACGTATGAGGCTTTTATACCTTACAAGCTTTTCATACACAACTATGTATATGAAAAATATATTTCAAAATTTATATCACTAGCATGAGCTCACATGCATAAAGGCAGAGAACAAACATGAAGAGCTGGGCCAATTACTATCAACACCCAACTACCCTCTTAGTTCTGAACAAGACCTCCTGTCTTTCAGTATCACATTAATTACACATCCACCTCACCATTCTCTTTTAGCTCGCTCAAATCTACTTACACCATCCTCTTTAACTGCCATACAACACCATACTTCTCACACCAGCCACATACATTCTACCTTCCACTTGGAAGGAAAGTCCTCATTGTCAAAAAAGGCAGCAGCTCTCTAAACGTCGTCCAGCCACTTCTGACTCTTGCAACTAGGAAGGCTTCAGCACTCCCACCGGCACTGTCCATGTCACCAAGGTAACAGAACTCATCGACACAGTCCTGGGACATATCCCAATGTTTAGTTTCTCCAGTCTTGCTGTATGCACATACAGAACACTTAAAAGTCAACAACATCCTGCAGGCTACCATCTATTTCACTGCATTTCTTGTGTACACACCTTGCAAATAATTGAGCTGCTGCCAATACCTTTCCTGCTGACAGCACATGGTCACACCATTAATCAATACTGTACAAGTATACCTCTGGCAACGAAGCCTCTTTATTATGAAGTTCTTTTCCCTCTTCTTTTTTTTTACTTAAAAAAAAATGGAATCCAACATAGTTGTTTTCATTTCAGCTAATCAGAACGAAGTGCACAAAACATAACACACGTCGCCAGTCAGCTGTGGCCTGTAAGATGCCTAAACATGTTTCCATTTTACAGCTAATGAAACAATAAAAGTTGTGAAAAAATAATTTCAATACTCTAATATGACTTAGAAAATAAAGAATAGATAATATAAGACTACAGGTTGAACCTCTCAAATCTGGCACCCTCAGGACCAGACCAGAGACAGCCAGCAGACTTTTCCAGACAACGGGTGGTCAAAATGTTACAGTGCCGGAACACCCAAATAAGCCATTGTAACAATGTATTAAGTGCTATTGCAAAATTTTAGGTATTGGCACTTGGAAATACATATAGGAAGCATAAAAATGACTGACAAGAAATAGTTTACATTAAATACAGGTACTGTACTGTAATATAAATAAAGTACAGGCAAACTAAACTTGTACCGAACCACGGATGGCGTAGGACCATGGAATTCCGGACTAGGGAAATCCAACCTGCATAAAATAAGAAAAATGAAGAGCATGGATGTGTATTCTGTTTGGGAGGTGAGCAACTGACCATATGTGTAAAGGCAGTGGGCGATATCTCAATAGTGTGTCTAGCAACTCAGCCTATTTCAGTTTAAACACAGGCACCTTACAACCACATCTGTTGTAAGTTTACTTTAACATACTTGTCACTGATTGTCAAGCTAGATTTAGTTAAATTTAAGTTTAGCTTAAAATAACTAGAGCATTTTCTCTTGTAACACCTAGGTTTGCATCTCCAGCCTAGTCACGTGCTGTCTCCCCCAATGTAACCTCAAGGCAAACACACAGTACAGCAGCCACACACTCTTTTGAGTCAGCTGGATGGCTGCCTGGCTGGATTGAGTCGCCCACTCTCAGTATCACATCACCTAGAGGATGGTTTTAAGGTAGAAGGAGCTATTTTTTATACATAAATATATAATATTGTATTTTATGATGTGATATGTATTATTTTTAATGTTTATAATAGCAGGATGGTTTTCTTTTGGGCATTTGCAAAAAACAGAATAATGAAGGACTGCAACTTACACCATTTACTCCATGTTAAATCTACCACTGACCATGAAATTTCTGACAATGAAGTGAATTTTATGAACAAATCCAGTTCATTGCCAGAGGTATACCTGTATTTTTGTTTTTGCCTCTATTCCATCCTTGTTTTTCTCAAATATCTCCACCGTCTCTTCAATAGTATCTGCAATCAGCACCAAGTCATCAGCATACAACAACTCCCATGGCAGACCAGTCCTATAGTCCTGTGATATTACCTCCAGCACCATGATAAACAGAAAGGAGCTCAAAACAGTCCCCTGATGGACTTCTTCCTCACACTCCTCACCATTTACTCTCACAGAGGTTTTTGAGCCCTCATATAATGCCATAACCACTTGAACAAGGTACTCCTCAGCTCCAAATAGTAAATATAATAGTATCATCACCATTATGATGTGATCCTGTTGATCTGACATTTAAATCATTCAACTTTTAAATAATATAGAATATTCAATTTTCACCTGCTTTTGTTTATAATAGTGCTTGGAAGGTTGGCATGCATTTTAAACCAAAACATGCACCCATCCATCAAAAAATGGGTTTATAACAAATACAGTATATAGAGACTTGGATGCAATATGCATCATCCATACATTAGTGTAATATTTTGGATGGTGCAAAAGGTGTCATCCACGCTCCATAGAGTTAAAGAGGTTTGAGAAGGAAAAGGACTTGGGTGTGGTAAGTGATAACAAATTGTCATTTGAGGAACATATACAGTACATAATAAAGCAAACAATAAGAACCACTTCATAAACCCATGATTGGTGAGGGATTACTGTATGTACAGGTACTGTATGTATTTATGTGAGCAAACACTATATTAGTGAAAAATTGACTCCTAGAATGGAACCATTGTTCTCCTTTAAACAGCTTAAAAATTCAATCACAACCAGGTGTACTACAGCAATTTCAGTCTGCTGCTTGAATTATACTTACCTAACAAGCTACAGTCAACTGGGGTTCACCTACTGAACACTTCTCTTATTACAGAGGAAATTCTAAGCCGAGGTGTTTCTGCCACTAAATCTATGCAGAGAATCATCAAGTACTGTACTCTAACTATACTCTAGCAAGAATCAACCCTGAATAATAAACGAGGTGGTTTCCTGTACTAGGTTTTAGGTGGCTTGTACAATGAAGCAGAAGAAATTCCTTGTACTCTACAAAAACAAACACTTTATAGATATCCTGAAAACAAAAGTACAGTATGAATCATTTATCTATTGTTATAACATAAGAAGAAATACCTTTAGGTGTTTTAGATTCTGTGAGATCAGGTAAACCAAAACCCAATCTGGACAACCATAAATGTTGAGCTGGCTGCCCAGACTATGCTGCAGGACAATGTAAATTTTTTATTTAACTTCTAGCACTGGGTGAGCATGGTATCACCTAGCAATGCAGATGATGGATTATGATTAATGAATAAAAGAAGAGTGAAAGAAGATGCTGTCCTACTGGGTATACTGTAATGGAAAAACACTTGCTTGACATTGAGCAGGATTAGGATTCTGATAGATGAATATGTTTCTAGTTTTTTTTAAGGAATTAGTGTGTGAGATATGGAGTGTAAGAAATTGGATGGATTTCAGTATTTCAAATATCTGGAAAGTAGTTTTGGACTGGACAGATAAGTAGATGCTGGTATATCAGTTAAAGCTTTGAAAGGCAGACAGATGGCAGATATTGCAAAAAGAGCAATGAGGGATTAGAGTGGGAATCTAGATGTTAAAAAGGTTTTAAAGGGCAGCTCATCCTACTTCAGGGTGATGAAGTGAAAGTTGATTGTGTAATAGTACAATGATAGGGTGAGTGCAAACAAGTGGGGAGGAATTTCTGGGGGTTGAGTTTAGAGTAAATAGAATGGACAGTGACAATATAAGAGAAAGACATGGAATAAAAAAAAAGGAGTGGCTGAAAGATGATATAATGACAGTATGTACAAGAGTATGGTTAAAGGGATGTGGGAAAATTGGGGGCAGTGAAGATGGAGAGACTGACGACCAAAATGGATATGGAGGGTTAAGTGCATGGATATAGTTAAAATAGAAAGATTCTGCATGAAACATTTAGCAACACAGAGAGGAAGTGTAAAGAATATAGAAAGAAAGAGAGGAAGTGGAAGACAGCATAATGAATGTAGGGAAGAGACCTGAAATTCTCCATCCCAAATCCAGCAGGAGAGAGGCTCATGCATTACCCCACATCACACAAATGAGTTCAGTTTCTCACAATCACATCTCTCTCAATATTACTCTGTCATTTTAACTTTCTCCTAAAACTATTCTTACTTTTTTCTAAATTTACTGGCATGCTCCTTAACTATAAACTCCTTAATTTTCTAGTTGGACAAAATAAATAAAAATAAATAAAATAAATCTTTAAGAAAACACCACAGCTAACTAACGTGTCGTCTGAACAGATCAGCATGGTTGGCTAGTGCGGGGTCAGTGTTGGCAATGTGTGTGATGACTTCCTCAACGGTCCACTCTGCCGGATCACCGCGGGGCCGGGGACTCTGGCCCGGCTCACTCACCGAGGAGGGGGATGGCTCTGAGGGAGGGGGAGGAGGACTCTTGATAATCTAAAGCTATCAGATCTGCAGTTATAGTAACATAAGCACTGATGCTAAGTAACAGTCATCACATACTACTACTAATATTTGTGCAATTATTGTAATTATTACCTTAAGATTCAGATTAATGTAAATACCTGTTCTACTAATCAAACATCATTTAAAATCTTCATAGGAGAAGTTCATGTAGAAGACTGGATAACATCTAACAGCAGTTGAATTACCTAAAACTTTTTAACAATACTGTATTAAGGAAAAGAATAAGAACCTAACCGGAATACTAAACTGTGCTATGAAATACCCGGATCATGTTTGGGACAAAATGCTGATCATTTCTTAAAGAAAACTTATCTACCAAACATCTTACTTATCATTAATTCTTTTACACTAAAATCTTACTTGTTAACTCTTTGATGTAGTTTTCTAAATTTCTGTACTCCTTTGTCTTTACAGTACCATGTAAGGTCTGTGCCCTTAACAACAAAAAACTTAGTCTAGATAATATTCATAGCAAGAGTCGTCAACAGAATATGCAGTAAGCAGCAGGGTATCAATAGAAGCAGGCAGGGGGTCTCAGACCAAAATAAGACCCCAGATGTAGACACATTCTAAATGCAATTTCTTGGCCCTTGACCTTTCCTGATATTCTTTTTTAATTGTTATGATGCTTAACTCAGAGAATTTCAAAAACAAATTTAAAGAACTTCATTATCTGAAGCTGGCAGTTGAAAGCTAAATGCACAGTGATTTTATGCCATGCACAAGCGTTTATTGACTATGATGCATTACCAATTTCCTTTGTTTTTCTAGAATCACATTAGACAAAAACAACATACATTTGTATTGTCACTGAAATACACGAGTAAAATTCAGTTCTCAGTATCCCAATGACCTGGGTTCAACTCCTGGGCACAGGAATTATTAATTACAGTATAGAACAATGACTACAATAGAGAGATGGTCACTCTTAATATTAGAGCCATGGAAGGAAGGAATTAGCTTTCCTTGCCATGAAAGATGCAATCCTACTAGCATCAAATCTTTTGAGAGGCCTTTAAATGAAAATAAGTACAGTATTTGTTTCAAGATACAAGATATGTTCCACTTCCACAACTAGGCTACAAATGTGGTTTGCCTAGTTTTATACAATCCAGCATCACCCATCAATAACTCTTCCTTTCCCCAAATTTACTCAACACCATGCTCTCCATCCATTCATGCACACTGCTGTTTCCTGAATGTTCATCTCCCTCACTTCTACTGCATCCTTCATCCCTCCCCTCTCCTCCTCCTTTCCTCCCCTGAATGACACCCTCTTTTTACCAAAGACCCAAATCTCATTCTCCCCGGATGTCTATGCCACATGAGCAGATCCTTATTTACTCTCAACCCAATACTCCTTTCATTTTCACACAAACATAATTTTTAATTTCTTATTCTCTGCCTCCTATTTCCTCCACATCCTGCTCTCAAGCAAGTCATTTCTTATTTGCTCATTCCTTTCATATCATGAGTCAATGCTACTTATCCAAAACTCAAGTCAAAGAAAACAGCTGATGGTAGCTGTTGTATGCACATACTGTACATACATACAAAAGTACAAATATACACAAGATCCCCTTGGAAAGACATGGTGTTGTATTCAAATGAATATACAGAATTATGTCTTATTTTTTGTATTGTTGTTGGACTAATGTATTACTAACCTTGTTATGCACTTAAATGCCTTTGTTGCTGAAGCACAGTAATAACTTTTAACAACAACTGAATTGTGTCCCACTGAATTAAATAACAACTGAGTACTTGAATTGTCTGAAAAATATAAAGCTCACCTGCAGATGCATTATGTGCTTTTATTCAGGAAGGTAATTAAGTGCCATTAACTGACCATTCACATATATGTTAACTGAAGCAAGTTCTTATATTGTATACCCATAGTTTAACAAAGCCTAACATAACCAACACTAGTAAAAATTAAGTGACAATGAACTAGTCAAAAAGAAGAAACTAGATATCATTAGTTGGTCAAGCCCATAACAAGTTTTGTATAAGTATACAACCCAAAAATGAGGTCACAGTAATCGATTGTTTCTTAGGGAGGCAATGAAAGGCCATTAGATAATCATGCAGGTGAAGTTTGGTTAATGTATGTTGTCATCTGTAATTCCCAAAGGCAGATCCCAGTGATCTATTCTTTCCAAATTGGTGACTAGAATTATGCCCATGAAGTCTACTGACCACAACATATTATGATTAAAATTTTCCAGAATGCAGGTCAAAATCATTAATTTTTAAACAGTAACTGTATTAAATTGGGGTGCAGCTGCAAAGCAAGTACACCTGTCCTCAGATCCACAGGTGTGATCCCAAAGCACTCTCAGTCCACCCAGCTATAAATGGGAATATAACTTTACATAAGGGAAAGAGAGAGTAGACACATACAGTGCCACACACTAACTCCTTGTGTACTGAAAGCTTAGTATATAGTGTGTTGTATCTACACAGTCTCTAATGGGCAGTCATGTCTATGGGACCCACTTTCACTATACTGTTTCAGATTATCATGTTAATTAAATCTGGTGACTGTATCATGCTGCTTTAGTGGTCAACCAAAGTTAAACATAAAAATGAGTGACCAATACCCCCTCCCCCCCAGACCTAGTTTTAAGAGAGGTAAGTCAGGTGATTGCACCATGTTGCATTAGTGTGAAACCCAAAAAGTTTGTCACAGTGACCTGTTGTTTTCCAAAGAGGTAACAAGATATTATTATATGATCATGCACACAAAGTATGGTGATTGTAGCACATTGTGACCAAAACTTCCAAAAGCTAAGTCTCATTACCATTTTTCAATCACAATGACATTTTTTCAATGAGATGACTATACATCATTAAGTAATCATCCCCACAAAGTCTAGTGACTGCCAGGTTGAGAAAATATTCTCAAAAGTGCAGGTCAGTGACTTATTTTTCAAGGGATAACAATTATAAAATGACCATGTCTACAAACCTTGTCTGACATTCAGAGCATAATTTGACCTAATTTTCCAAAAGTGGGTCACAGTGACCTATATCTCAGTGGGGTAAATATATGACAATAACCCATCATGCTCATGAAGTCAGGTGTTTATAGCATGCTGTGACCACAAGTAACAGTGATTTATATTTCAAATGGACAATATGTGTCATTATACAATGATGTCCATGAAGAGAGGATAACTGTAGGCTGTTTTAACCTAAATTTTCCAAAAATGTACAGAGGATGGATATCTAAGATGCAGTGGAATGTGTGAGTGGTAAAAGAATAGGCCTTGGGTGGTTTATGGGGATGTTATAGCAATATGAATGAATAGATGATAACAAATAAAGAGAATGTGTTTACTCTTGGTTCTGGCCACCCTGCAATATACAGTATTAATGGGAAAGGACCAGAAAAACTGGAAAATAAAATACTACAAACACATATATGTGCACACTATATGAATCATCCAACTAGTGACATCACGATTCTCTTCTAACTTGATGGCTGTCTATCGAGCAATTAAACAGATGAAAAGTAATAAGTTGAACAATTTGAAATTTGGTGGAGTTGCAAATACTGTATGAGTATTTTGAGAATGATTAGTTCAGCTCATTTTCAATGTAGACTGAGCTGAAAGGGATTCTAAACAAGCTGCAGAAATGTTAGAAATAGCTCCAGGTCATAAGTTCAAAGATTCACACAGAGAGTGATGGCACACTATGCTTCATGGCCATCTTAGAGAACCTGAAGCCTCTCAAGTCAATGCAGTTCAGTACTTCAGACCACTTTTGGCTCCTGAACAAACTACATTTTTTCAACCTACTCCCCTCAACTGATTCTCAATTTGACCACTATATGCAAGTAGTCTTCACTTAACAAGAGTTTGTACAACAAATTCACATTACCACAAGAAATCAATTACAAAACTAATGTATTTATTTAGCACAAAAACATTCCCAGTTTAACATGAGCCACAGCATGGCATTACCATGCCAGCCTGCCTTTGATGGTTTGCTACTTCAGCCTGCCTGACTGTCCTACTTATCTACTCAAGAAAGTTCAGAATGTTAAACAAGGTTACCAAGCTCTTTTTTTTTCTCCCACCGAGGACTCCCACTACCCCATTCTTGATCGAATTGCATTGGTTTCCAATTAAAGCTTAACCTCTGCCTAATGACTTTTAAGGCACTTATGTTTGGTGATCCTAAGTATTTGGCCAAACTACTAAATCCTTTGGCCACAAGTTCTGAAATGATTTTGCAGAGTAGCGATGATCCCTCACACCTTGGGAAGCCTAGAGCAGTATGGGAATGTTCTTTTGCTGCCCGATCCTATTCCTATACAGCAGAAGGTACAGTGATGGAGAAATATAGGGTTTAGAAAGTGTTACGACTTAAGAAAAACGGACTGTCACTTTTTGTGATTTTGTTAGTATCTTTATTTTTTATTCTCAGGTCCTTGACTTTGTAGTGTTTCAAGCACTAGTGAATTCTTTAGAAGAACTGACTCTTCTGATAAACAAAAAACCAGCTATTCTTATTGTGAGTATTAACACCATATTCATTACATTCATTGTCAAGAAAGAAAACTAACTTCATCTAGAAAAAATAAAAATAAAATCACAACTCCAACCTCATTACAAAAATACATAATCATCAAAGTCAATATCAGTAGTGAGAGCATGGTAGAAAAACCATGACAAAAGTGTTAAGTTCTGGGAAGTGGAAACACAGTTATGCCTAGGGCTCTAAGTCCTGTGTGTTCAGATTGGATAATATACAGAATATTCAAGTTCATATTGCAGCCTCATGTTCTTGAGCTAGACACTAGCTACATGGGAGCCACACTTGAAAATGTATGAATATTATTCCTTTATTAATCAATAACATTGTCAGAGCAACACCAGAGAAAGCAAAAGCTTTGTATTAGCTTATAGTGTGTATCACAAATATCAGCCATGTGCATATCTAAGCACAGCCCTGTATAGACTAAGTGGGAGAAGTGACATGCACTGAAATCTAACAGGTAGGATTGTAGTAGTTATACTCACCTTGCAAGACAGGCTTAGCAACCTTAGAGGGTGTAAGGGTTTCACTGGGTTCACTGGAAGCTGATCTCTTAACACCAACTGCAACTTGTGCTGCCTCTTGCTCTGTTTCATGATGGAGAGCACATTGGAATTACTAATGGGTTTTTTCTGAAGTACATCAACAACAATGGTCATGCACACCCAAACTTTTTTTTTTTTGTAAGTCTAAATGACTTGTAATCTTCCAGGTTGCTTATGAATGAGTGAGTTAAGATGAATTTAGCTTCTTCCAAGAGATATATCTAACATGGAGATGGATACTCAGCTTGGAGCAGCAACTGCGAATCAATGGATTGATGTCTGGAATTCCAATCTGGCCAACCCAGCCAATAAGAAAGGTGTACACAATCAACAGTGACATCAAACTCATCAGTCTCTGTGCCCTTTTGTGGTGAGTGTTAAAGTGGGGACATTACACCATAAAAGAAGACACCTATCTGAAGGTGCCCCAGTCCTGAGACTTGATACATGAGTTTCTAGTGTACGGTATATGTTTCAATCACTATTAGATGTATATGACAAAACAGATTCTAAGCCCTCACCCAGGCCTCTGAAGCAACATTAGGGTTGACATAAAAAAGAAGTTATAGGCCAATTTACACATCAAACTGCAAGATCTTTTCATGAATGCCTCATGTTTTGTGGCGCCATTGCCTAAATATTTATTTAACTCATGTTTAAAATTTACCTCTTTTGAACTGTGCAGGACTCTGGCGGGCACACTTTGTACAATGGTTCACAGGTTGTTGGGTATAAAAGTTTTCACAGCACATGAGGTCTTCAAACAGTGTTTCTAACACACTCCAGAAGTCCTCCACTTTCTCTAGAGATGGAAGGCGGTGTGTCTCAGGCTCACCATCAACAGTACCTGTATAAAAAATGTGCAAGACAAAGCATATACTGTAGTGACACCATTATGAATTTAAAATATTCCCCCTGTGCACTGTACAAATTAATACCCATTATTCATTCAAAGAAGATTTTAGAATTAGAGAGTTTGTGATTTGGTCACCATTTTACAATTTTCAAGTGTCATATTTGCTGTGCCTATTGCCTGGCATCCTCATAAATCCTTACAGGCAATCTGGCATAATGTCTTAAAACGTACTGCCATAGTTTTTACAAGAACATTCTTGAATCTGTATCACCTTTAATTTCCTAGTAATTTCACTTACATGTACACGCAACTCAGTTCATGTGGCAATGCTGCAGTAACAGTCAAGGTACCCCAACTGAGGGATGGTTGAGGAGGGGCCAGGGGACAAGAGTCCAGCAATATACAGTGGTCCCTTGGTTAACGAACGGTTCGATTAACGAATTACCTCCCATAAGAATCTTCAATTCGGTTAATGAACAAAACTTCAATTAACGAAATCCTTACGAACATCACGTTTTGTTGTGAGCATCAGCTGATCAGCTGATCGCTAGTCTGCCAATTCAGTAATCTGTTCTATGTTTACATTCGTTTCCAGTGGAGTAAATATCAAGAAAGTTGTGCTCTTTAATATTTTTGCATTTTTTATATTAAAATTATTAGTCATTTTAACATTTACGTATTTAACATATTGATAATATATGCAGTACAGGGAACTAGTTTTTTGTGTGCCTATCAGACGCTTGACTCAGCCACCAGGCATTAGTTGGGCTTTGTTGACAGTGGAGTGAACATCTATTTTGTTGGTGTCTTGAATATTTTTGCATTTTTACATTGAAATTATTGGTCATTCTGAAATTTAGTTAACATATTGATAATATATAGCGCAGTGCAGTGTTGATTTAAATAAAATAATGTTGAATTACACCTAGTGAACTTAAAACTTTATTGGTGAAATGACGGCATCAAGCATGGGTCCCCTGAAAGGTGATTTCTCCTCCATCCCCACTTCCTTCTCTTCTCCCTTCTCCTCCACCCCCACTTCTAATTCCCATCATCATTATCAACTAGGAACCTTCTACATACACACCTCAAAGTAAGTGTACTTTACGGCATTTTATTTTTTACTTTGTATGTACTTTTCGGTGAGCTGGAACCAATGACCCAATATCCCATTGAAACCATGGATTCAGTTAACGAACAACCCTCTGGAACAAATTGTGTTTGTCAACCGAGGGACCACTGTACAGCAAAGATATATACAGTCTAAATGAAGGACAAATAAATGCAAAGTCATTGACATATAGGTAATTGCTGTATAAGGTAATAAAGTGTTCGTAAGTAAAAGCACCAATTAATATGATTATGAACAGCACTGAATAGCACCAAACAGTTTACTAGTGTTTTACACTACTAATAAGGTATTGTCTGCCTGAGTTGAGTGAGGATTCTGCCCCCCCCCCCCAAAAGTTTTTTGCAGGGGTTGTTCATCAGTCTGGATCTTAAAATTTCACAAACTGAAGACCTGTATGTCATAAAACAAAGAACAAAACTAGAGTTCAGATGCAATTAAAGTTTAAGGGAATATGTGTAATTGATGAGTAGAAAGAGTACTTTGTGAAAATGTGCAAAAATTATTTATATATACAAGAAATTTAGCCACACACACACAAACTATGGAATAGCAAAAAAAAATTTAAAAGCCCATATTTCCACTTTTTGTGCAACCTACTTTTGATAATGACTTTGCCATTGCCATGAGGTAGAAGAGAAGTAACTGCTCTGGGATCTGGTGCAGCATCTGCTAGTGCTTGTACAGATTCTCGCACAACTCGATTGAGACTTCCAGGACCAAACTGCAGTGGAAGCTCTCCCACTCGGGAGTTATCCAGGTATGGACCACCTGTGCACCCATGGTTGACATGCACAATGACTGAAACCGAAAAAACAAAAAATATATATATATATATATATATATACAGTATATATATATATATATATATATATATATATATATATATATATATATATATATATATATATATATATATATATATATATATATATATATATATATATATATATATATATATATATATATATATATATATATATATATATATATATATATATATATATATATATATATATATATATATATATATATATATATATATATATATATATATATATATATATATATATATATATATATATATATATATATATATATATCTGCTATTCACCAAATAAGCAAATTGTTCTAAGGACTAAATGCACATGGTATCTTAATTTTTTTCTCATTATTCAACACTGTCTGAAAATGCCCTTTTCAAAGACAGTACAGTACTCTACTGCTTAAAATGTCAAAATATCTAACACTAACCTGAGGCACTTAATTTATGGACAGTTGAGGTATCAGGTTCAGTTACTGTTATACTTGGGGACTTTTGTGGTGGCACTGGTTTTGTTGACTCAGACCCAATGCCAACTTGTGTTGCTGGACCTGTACCACTGGTAGACCCCATAGATGAGGCTGCTGATTTATGGGAGGATGATATTGAGGGAGAAGTTGGGGTTTCTGGTGATCTGGGTGCTGGAGGTAATGAATGAGCTAAAGAAATGGTAGATGAACTTATGGCTGCTACAATGCTGGTGGTGGTGGTGTTGGTGGTTGATGCATCTGACTGACTGTTGGTGAGGGCTGGGGTAGTGTTACTACTATCAGAACCCGCTGATCCTGCAGGGGTTTTTGTGGGTGATGATGGTAAAGATGATGGTGTTGTAGATGCTGATGATGATGACGATGGCTTAGATGATGGCAGTTTGTTTGATGAAGATGAAGGTTTAACTGCTGTTGATGGGGATGATGATGATTTATTTGCTGATGATGCTTTAGTAGTTGATGATGGTTTGCTAGATGATGAACTTTGTGTTGACTTGGAGGGAGTGGTTTGGCTTGGTGGGGTAGGACTAACGGGAGGTGGAGAGGGTGATCGGTGTCTACTTCGACTGACAGACTTGGCAGGTGAAGTTCCAGTTGATGAAGGGCTTTTCTCTGGGACTATTTCTGGGGACTTGGACGATGGCCCTGCCAGAGGAGGAGGGATATTCAGCACACGAGCTTTGTACCGACTGCTAGGAGGACCCCCTGTCATGAAAAGGAGAAATATTGACTCTAAATTCTGGCAATATACTATAGGAATAAACACAAACAGGTACAGACATATACTTTTACAAACAAACTCTTTGATGCAAAACACTATTTCACATCATGTACAGTAGCTAAAACAACTATCTGTGCATACTCTGTGGGAAACAATATGAGACCGTGGACGATATATTTTGGTATATAAGGGCTGTCACTAGTCACACGTAAAATTTCGGAGCATATCAACCCCACCTGCACAGATAGTTGTTTTAGCTACTGTACAAGATCTGCGATAATACTTTTAAAAGTGATGGAGAATTGGAAAATTTCTGGGAAAATATACATGAAGCAGAAAGAGCTGATTTTAAGAACTTTCAAAAGGAGACACTAAACAGTAAATGCTGAGTATACTGTATATAAAAAGGAGGTAAAACATTGTATGATGACTATCAATTTAAAAATTATTCTGAAAATGCTTTTCCTTGTGTGTACAAGAGCACTTACACATCTGCCCAGGAGGTTGTAGAGGATGACCTGACATAGCACACCACCCAACGGGGAATATGTCCCGAGAGTCATACCGACAGTAGTAGTCAAACGCTCCTCGCCACCCATCAAAGGTTACATGGATCATGTCACCATTCACCGCACCTTGGGAAAAACAAGAAAATAACAAATATATTTTTAATTCTTACTCCTCTTTCCAGAACACCTGTATAAACTGTTTTTACAACAATTCTACCATACACTTTCTCTGGTATACTGAAATACCTTATTGCAATTTACATTCAATCTGACCACATTTTCCTTTAAACAATTTTCTCTTTAAATAGTACTAGGGTAGCAAACACTTGCATCATTGTCAAAACTATTCACCAAGATACAGTTCCCCTTACCTTTCTTTTGGTACCCTCCTCTCTCTTACATAGCCTATTCAACAGGTGTTGAATATTTTACTGTCATTCCGAGTTATATCAAATTATGAGTTACCAAGGGTTTACTGTGTTGCCACATGTCAGACCATGTCTCTCTCCCCTAGGAGCATGTTGCCTTGTTGTTGTCATTTACCAACCTCATGTTCCTTCTTCATTAATATCATATACTATATGTCATATTCTGTCTGCTAGGCCATGCCTGTTATTTCCCTATATAAAAAATGGTGTGGACATATTTAAGGACTATTTTTGTGTTCTCTTTGTACTTGTCACAGGTGTTCACATAATTGCCACAAGAATAAAATTGCTGTTGTACATCAGCTTTCATTTTGCCCAACAGGAGAGATCTGCTGTTACACTGCTGAAGCTTTTGGTGAGAAGGATAAAAATCTAAAAAAGACAAACTTTCCTATATGTTCTCTTATTTAAAGAAAAAATAATAATAAAATAAAATCTTTATCACTGGTGATATTGTATGATATCTAAATAGCATGTGAGAGTTTGATTTCAGAGTTTACATACAGCATTCATGTCCTGATCCCATCTACTACATCTTTAGTATACAGTAGAATAATTGTGATGAAGAATTTTTTTTCAGAGAGAGAAGACCCTTATAAGGAAGAATAACAACAACACTCTTGATAAATTCTTTCCAAATAAGCAAACCCAAAGTAAAACTTACCTACAGTTGCAGCACAGATAAGCTGAGGATTTTTTTTGTCTACTGCCTCCAGCTTCATACCCACTTCGAAATAATTTTTTTGTGGAGTTGGTGGCTCTGTACGGAATATGTGTGGTGGAGAAACTTCTGCATTGTGTAAAGTCTTCAAGAGGAACATTGGCCAAGAAGATGCATTCATCCGGAAACCTGAAAAGAATCAAACTGTGTGGAACAACTGAACAATCCCCATCTTCAAAAATGAAGTTCTTTGCAGAAATTGCTGACTCTGATTTTGGAATTAATTTGATTCCCTTTATGCCTTAATTAAACTAATATTCTGATCACTTTAACAAATGTTATGGCAAAGTTTTCAACAATTCAAATCATTGAAAGAATTCATATTTTAATTAACAGAAATAATCTGCAGCAGTCCCTTTGTTCTGATTACAATGATATATGCACATAATATTTAGATATAAAAATATATACTGTATTCAACTTACCAAGAGGCGGCTGCAACATTCCACCATGCTCTTCACAGTGGCCGATAGGATGTATCTCATTGTTACAGTCCACCAGTCGCCAGAAATCATTCTTATTATCCGAGCCATCTAGTCTCAGCCGCAGTCTAGGGCCCAAAGTCCCAACTACTGTGGCAATGCATGTTGAGGTCAGATTACGGGGATCTAAAGCTTCCAGTTTCATCCCAATTCTGAACTCATTTTTGGGGGGTATCTTGTGCTAAAATTGGTCAGGATTTTTATATTTACAGCTCTAAAATAAATAATTATAAGAAAACAATATATACCATAATTGTATCTAAATGTCATTATCAATATACAGGAAGAAGGAAATGAGGAAAAAATACATCAGAAGTAAACTTAAGAAAGTAAGATACAT